CAATGTTATGATTTTATAAATCTAAGTGACTTGCCCAAGGTCACGTATCCATTTGGTGAGAGAGCTGGTACTGGAACCTGCTATTGAAGTAAGTTTTCTTTTAAAACAATTATCTTTTATACCAACTGCATTTTTGAGCTGCAGAATTTGTGCTCAAGGGATTCATTTTATCATCTTGGCTACTATTGATTCATCAAATCAGTTTCAATAATGAAAGCCTACAGTGCCATCTTCGGATTCAATGCTGCATATAGTAATCCAACTGGCACATGATGTCTCATAGCCTGCATTTACCGCACTTACAGGTGCACGCCATCATGCCTCGCTTCTAATCCCTGATTCTACACAATAACCATATGAGATAACTCCTATTAGTGTCTCCATTCTACAATGAAAACTTAGGCGTAGTATACAAACACACCAATCTTGATAATCTCCCTTATTTAAGGCCAATTGATTAAGCACTTCAATTACCTTTGCAAACTCCCTTCACAATAATATCTAAGCAACTGATCAATTAAATAAGTGGAAACTATAACCAAGACATAATGACACATCAAAAAAATTATCACATCTCTCAAGCAACTATCATCTCTTGCCTAGATCATTATATTAATAATAACCTCCTAATTTCTTGGGCTCCTTGATTCTGCCGTTGACTTCATTTGGGTCTGTTCTTAACATGGTCGCCATAGTGACTCAGTTATTACCAAGGACAGATTATGATGACACTTCTCTGCTCAAACCCTCTGATTTCCTATTTTGCTGTGAGTGAAAGGGAAAGTCTTTCTTAATACATACAACAGAAAATATTGAAGATAATAAGAAAACGAAGACATACAAATAGAAAGGAACAAAGGTAAAAGGGGAAAAAGCAAAATTCTCATGTGAAACTATATAAGTTTGATGGAATTTGAGACATTTTTAAAGTACTGAAAGAAAAATAAAACTTTCAATTCATAATTCTGTGCCCAATCAAAATATCTTTCCAAAAATGATGATTGAATAATGAAGTGTACATGTAAAAAAATAAAAGAAAGAAAGAAAAGACAGAGAGAATTCACTAAAATAAATTCTTGAAGCACAAAGAATATGATACCAGAGTACATAATTGTATCTACACAAGAAATGAAAAGCTCTGAAAAAGTCAGAAATAATGGTAAATATAATTTCTTTTTTCTCTTTTGCTAATTGTTTAAAAGACAACCAATAATGACATATAAATGTAGGTTCATCATTTGTAAAAATGTACCATTGTGCTGGAGAACATTTATAGCAGGGAAGGCTGTCCATGTGTGGGCAGAGGATCTATGGGAATCGCTATACCTTCTTGTTCCATTTTTCTATGAAACTAAAACTGCTCCAAAATAAAATATATTATATTTTAAAAGATAATTGACTACCTAAAGCAAATATAGTACCAATGTATTCAAGGTTTATGGCATAAGAAAATGAAATTTATAAAAATGATAGAAAAAATAAAAAGATGGGAAGATTTACAATTATACTGAATGGATCTTACACTATAATAAAGCCATAAATTATTACACTTACATAAAGCCATAAATTATTATTTGAAGGTAGACTGTGATTAAAGATGTATATTTTAAACCTTAGAAGAGAGGAAAGAAAGAGAGAGATTTCCAGGAAGTAGCTTGCATGACTGTGGGGTTTTCCTATGTAAATCTAAAATCTGTAGTGCAGGCTGTCTGGAAGGAATGATCACAAAGCACGTGGAATCCATGCACATGGCTGAAACTGTTTTCCAACATGCAGATTTTCTTCTATTTCTTCAAGAAAAACTTCAACCCCACATTTAATGCTGTCCATCTGATTAAGTCAAGCCCATCTATATTATCCAGACACACACACACACACACACACACACACAAATAAGTTACATAGCTAGTAAATGGCAAGGTGAGAATTCCTCTTATAATTATAAATTTAGTTGTTTTATTTTAGAATCAGAATAATCATTATAATTTTTTTCTTATAATAATTATAATTTTTTTCTTAGAATTATAATTCTTTTCTAAGATGTGTGTGTACTAGGAGATTTTTTTAATATGGTCTTTTATATACATTAAACAGCTAAAAGTCTAAAATTTTACGTTATATTAAAATAAGTACTGAAGGTGGGTTTTACATCAGTAATAGCAGTTGAGGGTTTAAAATACTTCTGCCGAAATTGTACCTGTAAATAGATGTGGTAAAAGAAAAAGTCTAGATTAACACAAAACTATTTTTCCTTCCCTTCACTCTCAAAATAGAGAAAAGATTTTTTCAAGAATGAGAAGAATTGAAGCTGTTAGTTTCGATGAAATCAAATGTATTCAGAAATCAAATGTAATGCATTGTTTTAACAATCCATTACTAGTGATTCTTTCCTCCATTGCACCTGACATTCTTTTCAAAATATTACCAAATGCTGACATGCCATCATTTGACAGAGATTGCTTGTCAAAAATGAAATATATTCTTAGAGTGCCTTTCACTAATAACAGTCCTCACAGCTGTGAGAACAAGGAACAACACTTCACTCCTCCCAGCCTCCTTTATTATCGTTCTCTTGTGAAATGTCAACTTGCAGAAATCTTTAATATGTAGAGGATGACTCTATCAAACCATACACACCCTTGAATTCATAAAATGACCCAGCCCACTAAAATATTGAAGTTGAAGTTCACCGTAGTGGTAAAAGTGTTTGTATTTTCAAAAGCTTACCCGCTGTTCTATTTTCAGCTTGTAAATTCTCATTTGCAAAGCATTTTTCACATTACACTTTGAAACAAACCATTAAATCATATGAGGATTATTGCATAAATAATAAATAAACAGAGAAAAATGGGACCATTTAAATTTTTTTTAAAGAATGGACTCTGGATTAATCTTAGAAATTTCTTCGGGAAGTGAAATTCACTATTTGTCATGTAATATTCACAGACTTTCTATTTGTGATCTTCCAAAGCACCCATAAGTGTAATTTTATAACCTGCATGCATCTACATGTTCATTCATATTTAAAATGCAATTAAATAAAGTTAACATAGTAAATAACATATACTTTAAGAACACTGGACTTTTAAAGACACACATTTTCCAAATAAATATATTAGAATATAATCACCGTATGTTATCTCTACATACTTTCTTAAGTGTTTTGTAACATATTAGTGCAATTAATTTAATAATTATATTTAAATATGGCACACATTCACACACAAAAAATTCAAATCAATATTCATAATATTGAAACATAAGAAATAAGTCAAATATAGATGTACTGATTAAATCCTAGTAATATTTATTTGGCAAATGGCAACATAGCTATAGAATAATAGTATAGATCTATATTTATTTAACAGGCAATTTTATGATATTATA